CAGATCTTCGTCGTTTAATTCAATTCGTTTGGCCAAGAATCTGCGTAGTGCTTCTTTCCCTTTTTCTTCCGCATTAATCATGTCGTTCTTAACATCATCGCTGCATTGTAATCCAGAACTCATATGTACGAGGCAAGTATTTTCTTTAAACGGTGTCCTCCACTCCATAAGATCATAACGGCGAAGAAGACAACGTTCGCCGTGCAGCATTCGCTTTCTTCCAAGATCTTTTGTCACAGATTTAGCCTCGGACATTCATAGGAACTCCTCCATCCTTAATTGGCACTTTGGAGCAATATGACTGGTTAATACCCATCTTTGAACTGCTTGTTTTGATGTACTATAGCCAAAAATTCCACCTGCACATTTTTGCTCTTTGTTGATTGATTGCTCTATAGCCAGATCTGATGGTTTCCTCTTGAATCTTTCTGGTTGTCTTCTGACTGAAAAATGACCTGCTTCAAACTCTTGATGTATAGGAGGATGTGTTTCTGGAAGCTTACTCATGGTTACCAGGTAGTATGTCAGAAAGCCTGCGTAGTTTGGGCGATCATAGCCAAACATCAAGGGAAGCATGTTTTCTGTCGATTGCAGATGCAGTTTCTATTTCTCGAGCCTGATTGATCGTGAAAAATCAGGTAATATCTGCACCATACTCAAAAATGACGAATGTACGGATGCTGTTGGACCAAGAGAAACATTTAAGGCAGAATCTTCATAATTTTGCAACTCATCGAGCAGATTGGCGTGATGTCGGCTAAGGTTTGCTAAAAGTTGCTTAGTTGGAGAAGAAAGTCTAACTCAACTGAGTTGACTAATCTTTCATAAAGCTCATTCATTTGCTCTGTTAGGTCGTTTTCGAATGTTTAAAACTATCAATCATGAGTCTTTTGAAAACCTCGTACGGGTATTTTAGGATTCGCATTGCGTTGTTATAATGCTTTCCTTTAAGCATTTGGTCAACGGAAGATTCACCAAGAAGATTTGCCTCGATTAAGATGTTGCGAAGAACAGCATCAGCAAACTTCTTTCCGATAACAGCAATGAATATACACATTGTATGAAACCCGCCAAGCCGCAAAAAAAGGAGCAGCTTAAGATCTATTTACTTTTGATCTATGTACATTGCAACTATTTAACCTTGTGATTGTACTTTGGATTCATCATCGCTTCCACAGCCTTAGCGTATATTGCCATATCTAGCACCACACCTGTTTCGACCTAACCAAGTTTTTCTGCCTTCACCTTTGATTGACTGAGGAGTTCCATAACAGTATCATGGGACGTTGGAGATTTGTTAATCGACGGCAAGTATCCAATTTTATGGTAGCTGTTGCTGTCGTTGTCACACAATAAATAATTAAAGCCTGTCCAACTTGATACCTGCTGCTCGAAATTTGTTTGATGAACTTGAGTTCTGGCGATATTCCAAAGCGTATCAAAAATGTATTATAGTTTTACTTCGTCTGTGTGCATGCATAGCTGAATGCTAGTCGTGGCTTCTGTGACTTTGTGCTTCACCTGGACGTACGAAGGTATCTTTGTTATGAACTTTTTCGTTTTTTGTTTCAGGTCTTTTTTTTTCGAACTTTTAGGTTGGAACTTTTTCGTTTTTTGTTTCATGCATGAATGTAGAGAAAATAAGGCTCTACAGAAGAGGGCTGGGGCTCATTTATTACAAAATCTAATGGCTGGATGACAATGCCATTTGTACAGTGCAAACTAAGCTTTTGAGACTTTCGGGATTGATGTCGTTGTTATCCCAAACAAAAGTGACGAATTGAGATGGCTGAATGTCGGTTAGAGAGAAGGACCTGTGAACTTGGTCTTTTGATTCTTCCGTTGCCAGAGAAGTTTCAAGAATAAGCACATCATTATAAGACATCCCGTGGCCAAACTTTTGTGTCCAATTAAGAACTATTTTGAAGCCAGTCTTTTGATGCAGAAAGGAAAGGTTATTTTTCCGACCGTTGTTGGCGTGGTACATCAGATCTTCTCCAATTGAAGACACTAAACACATCACCTTTGCGGATTTCGTTGATTTATTAGTGAGGACTCCTTCGAAAATAAACATGTTGTTAACATTGGAATTTCTGTTTTTTTTTGGGCAGAAGCTCATGCTCTGGTGGTGGCAAACTTTTAAAAGTACTGGGAGTTTCCAATAATTCTCTGCGTATTTCATGGGCAACTTGCATCGTTTTCTCATCCAGTGATAAGTGGTCCCATTCATAATTCAATAACTTTGCCTTAACAGCTACTTCAACTAACTGCCTCTTTTCAACATTGTTATTAAACAAATACTCACTGCCGTACTTTGGACACGAAAACCCAACTTTTAAACCAAAAGATATCTGGATCTTATCTTTAAGTCTTTGTACTTTTAGTGAGCTAAGCTGATGTTCAGCACCAAATATACGTTATGCAATTTCTAAATATTTCTTAGTTAAATCAACCATCCGCAAAACTTCATACCCAAGGATTACCTTCTCTTCGATGACTGCAGATAGCCCCTGAAAAACGGTTTCAGCATTGCTTGAAGCCACTGGTTTTGTCTTGCGCTTTTTGCAGATTTCCCTATAACACGATCTGTGGTAAAAATATTCCTTTGCTAATATCGCCTGCCATTCTGAATTTTCAACCTCAGTTTGCAAATGTGGAAAATCGAATGATAAAGCAGCATCGTGCAAAGATCGTGCACCATTCTCAGTGTCGCATTTTCCTAATTGCTCATAACCACTTCCAGCTTTGCTGTTTTTTCTCTTCCACACACATTTGTGATCTGCCAATATCTTACCTACATATATTTACATAAGTTACTTAATCAACTATATGTTTTAATTATAATTAGCGTCTTACTGATAAATAGACATTCGCGAATTATACCTCTTCGATCTGTTTTTCCTGATGACTCTCGCTGTCGCTCACGTACAGGCTTTTTGACTTTCAATTTGCCGTGAGTATATTTTTTATAACATTTTCGATGATACCCGTCCTCTAGCGAGGGAAGATCTTCTCCAAAAGTATTGATTATTTCAATAACTTTCTTATCCTCACGTTGCTTTGCAGCTTTGTAGATAGAATTTTTGGACGTGTCCCTGAACCTTTTAATCGATTCACGTGGACTCTTTCCACTGCACTGAAGAATGCACCCGCTAAATGTTTTATTTGAGGTACAGTTCTTTTGTGCTTTGACGGTGAAATACTCACATCAACTTCAAACGGTATATTTTTCCTTTTCTAGACATGATTTGTAAGACAATACATGCAACCAATGCAACATTCCAGCGAACATATAATTTTTAGGTAGTTTATATGAAGTATGTTAAAGTAGTTAAGTCTCACTTCTTCCTGCAAAATTATTCAAAAATCATGGCGCTTCTCAAAACAAACCAAACGCTGTCAGTAAAAGTTATTAGTCGGCCTTCTCAAGAACATTTTTGCTCGCCGACTTATTCAGATAGTTGTTTTAAAGGTGATTAACTACAATTTTAGGATAAAATGGAATTCCCCCTAGTTGTGGTAAGTTTTTACTCAATTTTTTTCACTTATCTGCCTGACTAAATCTATTAGTACTTTTTTCTTATTTTAGAAAATATACGAATTAATGCGATCTGGATATAAGCGGGAACAATCGGTAATGATACTTTACTTATATTCTGTTGTTTTGTATGTTGTTTGTTCATTTCTTATCTAATTTTAAGTACATTTTCTGTACGTATCTAGTTGACATCTACTATCAATAATACCAAACGTTGCGTGTGGGTGATATTGTTAGTCCTCGGTAGTAAACGACACTCCTGATATGTCTAGAAACCTTATGCTGCATGAGTTATATTTATAAAAAGATTGTAACAGAAAGTTATTGATAGGGCACAGGATGTTTATTGGGAGATAGCATAAACGAAAACATTCCTGTCAGAAAAATGAATAAAAATTGTATTTTGAATACATCACATGTCAAGATGTGGAAAAGTCCAAACCATGCGAAGCATTGACCATGAGTACATGGTCCATGATAAACATGCCTATAAATGTAAGAAGGACGGAAATCCATGCTAGTTTTTATATCTCCTTAGTTTCAAATGATCTCGTGCAAATTTGTGATTGGCAGATGCTCAAGGTACTGCTAAATGGAAATAGTGTAATCGACCAAAGTCAGCAAATATTCAGCTGTTATTCAGAAACTAAATAACATTCTTAACAAACGGAATTCCAGAAACAATGAAAACTGACAACGGTTCCTCTTTTAAGAGAGAAGAATACAAAGGAATTCTTCAAATTTTGGGGATGATCAGGGCGCCCTACTCAACACCGTACTAGTTTTAAGGCGACAGAAAAGCAGATTGCCTTCTCTATGGAAACCTATAAAAAACTCAAGCTAAAAAAGACAGTAACGCAATACAGAACGAGATTAAATTCAAATACTTATAAGTGCCATCGTCGTAGTTAATATTCACTTATACACTTACAGTCATATGACCAATGCTTGAGAAACGTATATTGCAAACATGCACAAACAAGTGGGAGAAAACTATACTTATACGGGCAGGTTTGTAGCAAACTATTGCAGACAGAAGACGTGAAACAAAGCGACATCATTGTTGGGATTTATGCGCTTGTCAGGCAAATTAAAAATAGCTAACTGAGATCAGATTTTTACAAAAGCCAAGTTTAGTTGATGCAACAAATAAATCGCAAGCTACGGCACAAAATAAAGATTGGCAAAAACATATAAGAAAAGTATCACACCTCAAAAAGTCTCTTGGAAAATGAAGACATCGTACTGATAATGATGAAGAGAGATCTTGGCGAAAAAAGAGCAGTGTACGAAGTAAGACCAAACAATCCTCAGAACAAATTGTTGGTAGCAAACAAGTCTTAACCAACATCTGTTTATTACGATCCCGCAAAGATATTGAAACGGGGATTTAAATAATCGTGAAAATACGCAAATCATTAAAAGGGGGAGTGGTGTAGTGAGCAAAAATGTTACCACTTAATACTTTTTGAATTTTAATATGCAATTATTGTTTACATTAATTTGACATTTCTAAAAGAAATATACGTAACGATAAGGGTGTGACTTAATAGGAAAAAAATATACATTGATACATATGAGAGCACATTGATAACATAGGGATTGATAAATCACAAGCAAACTATTACAAATACGAGCGTTTAAAGCAACTGATAGTATATATCTAAACATTTGAAACAGGACGCGAGCGAACGTAAAACCAAAAGTCTAAAGGAGAAACAAAAACATTTGAATTTGTATTAACATAAACCACGCCATGAACGTCAGCTGAATAAAATCCATGCTTGTTTATTCCAACACCGATAGCTTGTGGAGCAGTATTATTGCAACCTAAACAGAACGTCATTTAAGCAGGTGAATACTTAGTACCAGCATGTTATTGAGCAATTAATGAAAAGTTTCAAGTCTTTTGATATATTTCAAATATGTCCTGCAATTGATGGGATATTCTCAAATTCAGTTGTGCATGTGAAAACATCATTTTAACAAAATGTAGTTATACAAGTTTATGTTTAGCAATCAGCCCAGCAAACATATATATTTCATGCCTAGAAAAATGACTGCACAATAATAATGCAACGACCAACTTTGATGTAGCATTGGTTTTAACATACCTGATTTATTGACAGAGACAATCCCAACACGAGCCTGGACGTAGTTTGATTTACCAACGTTGAAGCCAGCTTCGTAGCAGCCATATGTAAAATTTGGCTGAATGTTATTTGGAAGTAAGCCAAGAAAATTTTGAGGAGGAATGTTCAAGATCTTCTTTTCAAAAAAAAGACTGCGAAGCGAGGGCGCCTGTACGGAAATCTGTATTCGACCGTAAATTGTCTGCATACACAATTCAGTTACATTCGCACTCCAAAATTGAGAATTAAAGATTGTCTGGCCATTTTTTGCTGTCCAAATCTTCGATTTATATCCTGTCTCAGACTGAAATGAAAAAGAGAAATAGAATGGCTAGATATTATACATCAGGGCATAGACAACTTAAAAACTTTCTATCCATTTACTTTTTCTATTTATCATTAGCCTCGCACTTAGCCAAAAACGACAATTATAAATATTTAACATAAAACTATTAAAAAAGGCTAGTCAAGAGAAGGATATTTTTAAACACGCCTTATTACTCTTATTAGTATATGTACGTATTTCAATTTAGGAATCTTATCAGCATTAATATAATACAATTTAATTTCATATATTACAGCTCCCTTTCGTTTGTATTATCTATATTAAATTATCAAATAATCAGTATTTCTTAACTATGATATTTCTTAATGTTCTAATTATAATTTTCTAATTTACTAATGTTTCTTCTTTACTAATGTTAACTACTTAAACCGCTTGATATCTCTCGGGTCTCGCTTCTTATTTATTTATGTTCCTTCTCTTCTTTTAACGGTTGTTCTTCTTTGTCTGGACACTTATTAGAAAATTGAAAACCTTCAATTGTTTCCAACGGTTTTGAGTTTTGAGCGTAGCTCCTCATTTACCTGATATGACTTCTGTTCCTTCCAAATTGTTGACCATTGTTTGTTTCGATTATGTACGATCTTGGTGCTTCCAGGTTTTCTTTGATTACTGCTGGTTTTCATTTATTCTCGACTTGCACTCGTACAGGTTCTCCTTTTTGTAATGGCATAAGTTTTGTTGAGCCTCTGTCAAAATACAATTTTTGCTTTCTTTGTTTCGCTTCCAAGTTTTGTTTCATTATTTCTGGATCGACGATTTTTAATTGAAGTTTACTTTTGGTGGTTAGTAATAATGAACGCAATCGTCGACTCATCAAGACTTGTGCTGGTGACGCCACATTATCAATAGGTGTGTTACGATATTCCAGCAAACCTATGTATGGATCTTTTCCATCTTGTTTTGTTTACGTCGGCATACGCTTCATGATTGGAAGCTTGAGTTTCATGCCAAAAATTCCAATGTCGTACAAGGTGTTTAAATTCAATGGCTGCATATTGAGGGCTATTATCACTTCTAACGAATGATGGCATTGCGTGTCGTTCAAATATAACCTTCATATGATACACAACGGCTTTTACTAGTGGTGTTCTCTAATTTGGACATTTCCATAAATCGAGGAAGTAATCCACTATGATCAAAGAGTTTTATTGTTCCCGTTGTAGTAAGTCAGTTGCCACCATTTCCCAAGGTCTCGATGATTTTATTGATTCATAAAGGGGCTCTTTAAGGTTTAAGAGCCCCTTTATGAATCAATCACCCCAGAATTTACCCACTCTGTTGGATCATCAACCTTTTCAGTATTGCCCTTTTCTTCCGTGTCGTTTAGTGACAATTTTAGTCTTTCTCTTAATGCAATAGGTGTAGTTTGCTGTGGACTAACGACAGGTGTAACAGTTGGGTTGATTTCTATGTGGTATGGTTTCTTCAAACATCCCAATCCTCCAAATAAATTAGGAAATCTATCAGGAGTATTTTCAACTGATTGGTTGTTGTTCACGCTCATAATAATTAATTTCAGTTCTTTGGACGCTTTCAAGCCGATTATAGGAATTTGCTCACCAAAAAATTCCATTGTCATATTGTTGCTTTCAAATTTCATTCTCCTACCACTGGTAGATATTCCAAGTAGCTGATTAGCTTTGTTGACGTTGTCGGTCTCTGTCACAATACTTGTTTCTAGTGCATTTTCTCAAAGGTAGTTTTCGGAATGACGTTTCCTTGCGATGGGGTTCCAATTGATTTCTTTCCATTTGACTGATAACGTTTTAAAAACATTATCTTGGTTATAAATTAAATCAACCGCACCAATGAGCAACGGTTCGCCGGCCATAATATATATATATATATACGTTTAAAGATTGGCAATCCAGGCATTATATTGTTTAAAAATAAAAGTTTCTCCAGATTTTATGTATAATTTTATTGAGCTTTCGAATCGTTGCCTCGAGCCTTAATCAGAATGAGTAAGTTATCTATTTACAGTTGCTTTTAGCTTGTAGACACTTAGAGCGTCTAATTGGATTTGCGGGTGGATTAATGTGATTGGATGGGATGAAATGCGCTGCAATGGGTTTTGGTGTATTGTGGATGTGATTGGTGTTGATATTATTAGAGTGTGTTGTTGTACTCTTGGTGTTGTTTGTAGTACTTTTGTCTTTTTTCTCTAGTTGTGAATATATGATGCTATGTCAATATTTCTGTTTATTGTGTCGTTGTCTTTACTGTACCAAGCTTCTTTGAATTCGCGAGCGTGTTTTGTTTGTACGCGTCCAAGTGCTTTAGTTTCTGTCCAGTCGAATGTGTGATTATTTGCGTGGGTATGTTCTGCCGGTAGTGAGTTTGGATCTTGTCGTTTTATGGCGTTTTTGTGTTCTGTGAGTCTTGTCTCGATTTTTTGATGTTTTTCCTACGTATTGTTTTGACCAATCTTTACATGGTATCATGTAGATCGCGACGGTTGTATTATGGATTGTTGTTTCGTCCTTATGTTTGGAGAAAGATGATTTGAGTTTTTGTGTAGGTTTGTGGGCGACGTTAATATTGAATTGTCGAAGAAGTTTTGCAGTCATTTCTGATGTTCCGTTTATGTATGGTAATGTGATGATTTTTACTGGTTCTATTTGTTTGGCTATATCTAGTGGTATGGATGCGAATAGTGACGTAACGTCGTAGGATATCATGATTTCGTCTTGTCGTAGTTTAATGTTGTCAATGATGGCGAGGAAGGTGGTGGCGTTTTTGATGGTGTTAGGTGACAAATTACAAATGAAGTACTAACAAACGACAAAACGTGGCAAGCTACAACATAACTAGAGAAAAATGACATCCTAGACTTACTCAACCTTTGACTCTCTACTGAATTTTTTTTTCAAAACTCATACTACGCCGTAGAGCGATCTTCAGGCAATTATATTACATTAACGATGCTTAGAGACTGACGCAATATGAAGAAAGTCGTCTTTACATAAAACTTAAGAAGATATAAAAAATATTCAGAAATATATTTTCTTGGCGATATATCAGAAATAATTTCAAATCAGTGTAAACTCTGTGGTACCAAAGTGTTTAAAAAGAGTTGATATAGAAACTCACTGAAGACAAACTTTTGCTTAAGTTTCCAATAAATGTCCAACCAATGCCATTACATCCAAGATTTGGTGTCTCTCCTTTATGACATTCTGTTTCAGCATAGCCAAGTTTGTTGCGTGATTTTATGTAGAACTTTTTGTCTCTGTGTTCACTAAGTGAATGATAAATGTACCTTTCAAGCCCTCGATAATTAATTAGTATTTGAAATGACAATCTTTCACAAACGACGAATTAAATAATCGAAGCAATTTAGGGCAAAAGCTATGTCTTGAATAACTTAAAATTTTAAAAACGGAAAGTCAAAACGATAGAAAGGAGCCATGTCGAGCCATTTTCTTTCAAAAAATTGGATGAGTGTTACCTTAACATGTATTTTACAAATTTACCTTTTAAACCATTTAAAGATTCATACCTTGAACACGACTTAGTATGAGCGGCGACACAGTCATTAAATATAACACGAGCAGGTTCTAAAAGGCAAAACGCAAATGCCCTTAAAATTTTCAAGTTTTGTTAAACAGAATTGCACATCGTTGTAAAGAAAGGAGGAAAATATTTTTTCTTGTGGCCTATTTTAATAGTCATGGAGTAGAACAATTATTTTACTTGGATGCCAAGAGAAACATTAACGAAAAAGCAGAATTATTTTGTTGACCCAGCCATTTGAAACTTTGGATCCAACCGCAAAAGGCAACGCATTCGTGTTTTTGTCAAATACGCCAGACAATAAGCAGTGCAAGATCTTAAAAAAATATTCTTTTTTACAGTATTCGCAACTTTACGGGAAGACAATTTACGAATAATTGGCAAGTGACTAAAACCGTTTTAATTAAGATGTTCCTTAATAAAGTTATCGTATGTTGAGACAGCTGACAAAAACTGAGTACGACAGAGAAAATCGTACCTCTAGTGCTGGACGGTGGCAATGACGATGGTGTGGCTGTAAAAAATGTAATTATTTAAAAACTTATATGTCTTACACTTTTTCATTAAAATATTTTACCTTGTACGCTAAATGTTGTTTCCAAAGAAGGTATAGCTGTTACAACTGAAGTGGACACTAATAAAATCAAATATCTTTTATCTCATGTTTTACTTTATGTTTTGAAAAAATGAACACAGAAGGTGAAGCGAAAATAGAAAAATGCTTACATTTTACTTTACCAGTAGCTGTCAACGAAGGCATGGCTGTAAATAAATAAAAAAGCAGATATAAATCAGCCTTTTCTGACTGGATGCACATGTTGGTCAGGTGGTTGACGTTTCAATCAGCGATTTCCATTTTTTGAAAGAAAGTGCTTCCGTTTTTAAATAGAAAAATCAAATCGTGACGTGAAACGAAAGGCTAGTTCATTATTGTTTATGTATCCATGCACTTGTATGCATCTCAAAGTGTTTCACAAGGGGCTGTGTTAATCTGTATAACTTTCTTTATAAACATTTTCTACCGAATCCTTTTTTATATTTACAGTTTGCGTTATTTGGTATAATTTTATCACTCTAGTTAGTCTCAATCATGTTAAATGATTTGAAAACAATTGAGCTAACAAAAGTTTTTCAAAATATTAGCAAAGTATTTCAATGTATAGTGATTGAATTAATTCAAAAGCCCTTAGAATCATACGTAGATGTTCCTTAG